GCAATGCCCAGTCTGACTGTCGCATTTGGGTCCTCCTCCCTCTCCTTCCCCATCCTACTCCTCAGAGTCCCAGCAGGAACAGCCCTACAAAGAGGAGAGTGACGCCGGCACTTTACGGCAAACCCCTCCCGACCAGACCCCCGACCAACCCTCCCAAGCCCCCGCCCCAGTCCCCTCTGAAGGACCCCCCCCACCTGAGAACCCGGAGCCCCCGGCTGCCCCAGAAGCGGCCGAGGACGGCGCCGCCGCAGCAGCAGCTGCCGGCGACCAGGGCAGCGACGAGTCCCCCAGCAAATCCCCCTCCAAGAAAAAGAAGAAGTTCCGCACTCCCTCCTTTTTGAAGAAGAGCAAAAAGAAGGATGCCTGAAGGCCTGGAATTCTGGGGGCCCCTCCTTTGATTGGTTCTTTTTTAAAAATTGATCCCTTTTTGCTATTTTAGTGTTCACCTATAACGTGTGTCCATTTTTTGGAAAAGGGTCAAATTACCTAAAAGTTTTAACACTGTTGCTTTTAGTGATGAATGACTGAACTATGCCTGTTGAAGTGCATTTCTGTGGTTTCTTTACACGCGTCGGTTTAAGTCCACACTCGAAGCAGGCAACAGTTTTTAATTACCACTTAAAAAAGAAAAAGAAAATGCATTACTAAACTTGTAGAATTTATTGGCATTGCACGAAAAGTGTGATTTAAATGGAAAATGCTAAAAAGCACTGTTGTTGGTAACCCACGCTAAGGAAAATGACAGGTAGGGTGCATGGTGCTCATTTTTGATAATCTGTAGCATTGAATTCTTTTATATGTGCATTGCAGAATTTGGGTCCAAAGGTGTTCCTTTGCTATATTGAAAAGTAGGATGTGTGTGCGGCAAAATTATTAACAAAGTAATATTTTACATTTATATACCCATAAAGATTTCTAATGGCATAAATGTATAAATCACTTTTTTTTTTTTTTAAGTTTATTTCATGTTTGGATAAGCACTAAATTCAAATGGTCGTATCCAAGAAAGATACACTAACATTGTGTTACATAAAATTTTCTATTGCAAGATTATAGATAGCATTGTTTTTGAACTAATCCCATTGCCATATATTAATTTGTAATGGGAAGTCAATCTGTTTTTGCTCTTAGCTTTAATATATGCAAATCCGAGATGGCAAGAAATCCCACCTGATAATTCTTGCTTTTGTTCATTGTTTTCACATTAGAGGAGCTATTTTTGTGTTTTGTAACATTGCATCCTGAGCCATCACAACAAATCTTTCTGAAGTGTTTTTTTTATCCTGGGGAAAGATCAAAATGTAAGTGTAATTATTAAATTGATTTTTTTTTTTTTTTTTTTTGGCATCTGCACATAGAACAGTTCAGAGCGTTTTTTTGCCCTGTAGAGGTACTTTCCTCATGTAAAGCCCAACTCCATTTCCTAAGAAGTTGATTTAGGCTGGGTTGACGAGATCTTGTGAATACACAGACCCTCTTCTGTGCTTTGGTCCATATGTTGTGATTGTGCTTTAAGTACCCTGTTATAAAGTGTGAAGGACGATGTTAAATTGGATGAAAGTAAATTGATCAATATGTATTACACAAAAATACAGATGCTTCCAAATTTCACTGCAGAATATTTTGTCTGTTAGCCCCCCCCCCCCCCCTTAACTATCTGAAGCATCTACAATTTAAACTACACAAATTCTCTGCTTCGAAAGAAATTTGAAGTTAAGCTATGAATGCTGTTGCTGGAGGTCGCGGTTGATGTGATGATCTGGTGGGTCGTCTCGCCACTAGTGTTCCAGGTGATAAAATGTCCTCCAGGTACTCTTTACTTTGGAGTCACACTCCATCGCTATGAAGTTATATAACAGAAATCTAATCTAGGCGCAGATTTACACTGACGTTTAAAACCTGGGTGAACATTGATATTCAACCAGTGTCAATTGCACTCGGTCTTTGTGAAGCTTGGCGGAAACCACTATATGATATATATTTTGTGCAAAAAAATGTTTTTTTGAAGGACTGCATGGCATAAAAGGCTTTGAGCTTGTATAGTTTGTCTTATGTACATTAAGACCGTAACCCTCTTTGTTATTGTGCTTTATTGACATTCTAATAACAGTACTAAGTCAGTTCTCTTAAGGAAGTTTTGTTCTTCAAACACGGCTCCATTAAACCTCTTTATTGTGTTCTTTTGGTTATATTTAGTACATGTATTCAGCACATTATTATAACTGTATTAATTACATGTATTTTTTATAGTACTGTTTTAATTGATCAATAAATAAATAAATAAAAAATCACTTTAAAGTGTCTCTAATGTATACTTTAAAAAGAATTAAACACGTTGAATTTTTGTATTAAATGCAAGTAGTGATCATATGAATTTGTTTACATCAACTTTACTTATAAGAACATAAGAAATTTACAAACGAGAGGAGGCCATTCGGCCCATCAAGCTCAACTTGTTTATTTTTAAGCCATAATTATTGAGCATTAGAGTAGATTTCATATCATTTTTCATTGGGTCGTGTGGTGTATGTGTGATGCAGAGAATACTTTGAACGGATGTGTCTCTGGTATGTTTGGTGTCCTCACTGTGCTCATTGGCATGGAGTAAATGCAGTACAGAAAACATAAATAGGGGAAAAATACGTTAAAATTACTATTTCTAATTATAAGAATCTATGGGCAATATTATGGTTCCTGTAGCACAGTCCCTTCACAATGGTGGGGGTTTAAATGTTGTGTCTGTGTGTATTATGATCATCATATATTGTGGGGACCACAGTGTCCCCACAGTGTAATGACTTATTTTGACATTGTGGGGACCATCTTCCATGTCCCCACAAAGACCTGTGAATGCGATCGAAAAACTAAAATTAAAATTGCCAAAGGTTTTGTATTTAGTTTGGTTACTTATGGTTAGGGTTGGGTAGGGGTTAAAGTCGTCATGTTGGGATTAGAGTTTTCCCCACAGAAATGAATGGAGAGTCCCCACAAAGATTTAATTACAAACCTGTGTGTGTGTGTGTATATATATATATGTTTGCATGTCGTTGATGTGCCATGATTATCTCCCACAGTGCAGAGAGGCGAATTGGTGTTTCTGAATTGCCCATGGTATGTGTGTGTGCCCTGTAGCGGACTGACATCCTCCTCTGGGTGTGTGCCCTGTAGCGGACTGACATCCTCCTCTGGGTGTGTGCCAGCCTTTTACGCTGTTTTGCCTAGGATACGCTCAAGGACCCAATCAAAAAAATTAAAATAAGGAAAAATGTTCGTGGCAAGTAGTATATCATCACAAGCTTTTTCATTAAGATTAACTTTATTGATGCCAGGGGGAAATTCTAGTGCATGCAGCAGCAAGAACATAATGCACAGACAAAATATACATGTAGTGCCAAACAGACAAGGTACAAAGACGGTACACTTAGTGTAGACATGATTTGCAGACATGGTGCAAACACATTTAAAAAAAGTACTCCATACACATATATCCTGAAAAACTGAATAATGTGATGTGCAAAGTAAACATCTAAGAGTAAGAATGATATTTATGTCCAAATTATGTGCATTTAGAACAGGAAAGCACTGAATGGTCACTATGGACTGAAACCATAAACAGCAGCTTGCTACACATTTTAAAAGACCGGAACCTCCTCAGAAAGCAGAGTCTGCTCTGGCCTGTCCTGTACAGCACTGCTGTGCTGCCCACAGAGTCCAGACTGCTGGTCAGGTGGAGCCCCAGGTACTTGTAGGTACTTGTTGATGTACTCCCAGGTACTGGTACTTTGATACCCAGTATGGAAGATATTTGCATATTATAGCTTGCTAACATTTTTGACGGTGTCTCTTCCATTCAGTCCTGCAAAGCACGCAAATCATGTACAAAATTTTAGCATAAAATTTATTTACGTGTTGCATTTAATTATGTTACATTTGCTCCGATTTGCTTTTTTTTTAAATTTGGACTGTTTCCAGTAATTAAGTGCAATAGCTATTAACAGCATAAACGACCAATGCACACTTTTTAAATGCAATATTGTAAGGATCCACCCGTCTTCCACTGCTCTTCCAATAAAGGGTCACAGTGGATCTGGAACCAGGTTGTTACTGGTGACAGAATTTATCATGAAAATTGAAAAAAATGACACTTTCCCTGCTTATCTAAATCCAGAACAGTGCTGCGTGAAGCGTTGATATGCAGATGTCCCTCTTAGTGAATTTTCAATAGAATATTACATTTACATATAACGGTGAGGATTAACCAGGAACGTCACTAGAGGTTTATGAAATGTGGGGGTGGGCTAAGTCTTCACCAGCTAGAAACAGCCCAGCAACAGTAGGCCACTTCAATCCAACCCCTCCCCACCCCAGGGGCAATTAAAGGGACACAGGGCAGGTGAAAAAGATCACAATGACATAAAGTGCAACAGTATTTGAAAGATGCTGTGCAAAATTGCAGTCAATTAGGTGGATAAGAACTGATAAATATGTAAACAGAGGTTTTGTTAGTGGGCATTTGGGGGGGGGGGAGAAGTCTGTGAGTTGAGGAGTTGAACGGCCCTGGGAATAAAGGTTGCTCTCCTCCTCTGTGTCCTGCAGTCGGGACAGCGGAGCCGTCGTCCCGAGGGGAGCCACTCAAACTCTGGGAACAGAACATGGGAGGGGTCCTGCAGAATCCTACACGCTGCTCTTAGAGTTTGCTGCTCACTCAGGGATGAAAGTGCTCTGACTGGGAGTCCGATGATCTTAGAGCAGACTTTCACTGTGTTGTACAGGCAGGTCCTGTGCTGCAGGCTGGTGGAGTGATACCAGCAGATAAATTATGAGACCATGTGACAGTTTAAGCTGATCTGTGCAGGATTTTCTAACACAGACAATAGAAAAAGTACAATACTGTACTGTTAAGCAGCAGTTGCTGGCCAGACTCTCTGGAAGACTTTCAATAGGTGGCGCTAAAGAAGCCGTTCTGGAGTTTATCCGTTTTGGAGAAACTCGCTGGCTGTTGAACTGCGACCTTTAACATGTGTGACGCCCGCTGTGTTTAGGCAGAAAACGTGGGTCGGGTAGATCTGCCTTGCGTTTTCTCTGCTTATTAAATTTTTATTATACTTAATGTAAGTCCGCAACGCAAAAATAGTTTCTCGAGCTTCTTGCATAGCACGTAAATTTAATAATAAAAGTTTGTTAGCGTTGACTTGAAGTGATGCTTTGGTGTTTCTAATAACGTGCTGCTCACGGTATTGATGCATCATTTCTTTTTACAGTACTGGCATTTAAAAAAAATGGTACAAACCGTTCCGGTTTTTTTTGCTACGCGCAGTTCTTATATAATAACTGTTAAAGTATTTTTGATTAAATGGCATGAAGAAAATTTAATATACTGTACTTTGATAGTCGTTACTTGCTATGTGCTGTTTGTCATGCGGTTTGGTCATAGATAATTTTTCGGTGCAAAAGCTGAAATATTTGTTTTTATACAAAAAATAACATTTGCGTTCATTATTTATAGTGTTTATGAAAAAGCCTAAACATGGGGAAGCCGCAGAAAAAGAGGGGTCTTGCTGACAAAGTTCGCAAGACGAAAACCTCTAACGAAATCAAGAACAATCCATTTGAGGTGAAGATCAATCGGAAGAAGTTTGATATTCTTGGGCGAAAGACGAAACATGATGTTGGTCTTCCTGGTGTTTCTAGATCAAAGGCCATAAAAAAGGTGAGTGATATACCTGGAAAAAAATAAAATGCAGTCGCTTTTGGAAAATTTCGCGTTGTGGCATTTGTATATAGATTAAATATTCTTCTGTACTCTCTTGTCAAACTGCCTTTTAATTTCCCAGCGCCAAGAGACCCTGCTGAAGGAGTACAAACAAAAAAGCAAATCTAACAAGTTTGTTGACAGGCGGTTTGGTGAATATGATACCAAAATGGCTCCTGAAGACAAAATCCTGAAAAGGTTTGCCTTGGAAAGACAGGTAGAGTACATACCTGAAAAGACGTCGTCTTACTGATTGCGGCCTTTGATTTCTGCTCATGTGATGGGTCTTGTTTTAAAGCGTATGCAAGATAAAAAGAACATCTATAATCTTAATGAAGAAGAGGAGCTTACTCACTTTGGCCAGTCGCTGTCAGAAATTGAGAAGCTGAATGATGTGGTGGACAGTGACAGTGAATCAGAGGACAAAGGACTCCTCTCTGGTATGTTGGATGTACTGTAAGAAAGAGACCTTTAGTTGGTAACTGTTATGAAACATAGTTCAGACAATATCCACTCTTGACCCGCATATCGTGGACTGGGTTGCGGGGAGAGAACTGGAATCTCCAAGCATTTGATGAAGGTGGGGCTTCACTCTGGATGGGATGCTAGCTCATTGCGTAGCACCGGGGGTGCTGGTTAGGCTAATTGGATGTCGCGTGAGGGGGGACTCGTACCCCAACCCTGGAGGTGTGAGACAGCAGTGTAAAACACTCAGCCACCATGCTGCCGCTCTTCAGACAATATGGTGTGTAACTGTCCAATAGGTTTGTTACTGTATGACTTTCAAAATACAGATTTCTTGAAAAATGAAAATCTTTAAAAAAAAAAAAAATTCTCGATTTTTTTTATATTTATGCTCAAAATAATAGCCATCTTTCTTTCTCTCTCCTTTTTTAGCGGAGTTCACTGCGTCACACTTTGGTGGAGGTGGCGGCTTGCTGAGGAAGAAGAATGCTGAAGAGGAAGGCGATGGAGATGGGAAACCCAGATCTCGTCAGGAGCTAATTGAAGAACTTATCATCAAGTCCAAGCAGGAGAAGGTGGGCGGGGCCTCTAGGTTCTGAAGTCGCCTGCATCTGCTCAAATCCGTTTGCGTTCTCTGGAATTTACCAGTTATTCGTTGTTCATTGGTGCAAAAGGTCTAAGAGTCTGTTCTAACCTGTCAAGTCGGGTACTTCTGACAAAAGCTAAATGACCGTGCTTCATGTGGTTGTCAGCATGAGCGCCAGACCCAGAAGGAGGAGGCACGGGTGCTGACCGAGAAACTGGACCAAGACTGGAAGTCCATTCAGAGTCTAATGGCTCGTAATGCCCCCAAGTCGGTCTGCAGAGTGGAAGAAAGCAAGCCTAAGGTAAGATGGAGACAGATGCATGGCAGCCACTGGTTGGCAATTGTGAGTTTAGTATTTTGAAACTACGATATTGTATATTTAAAACAGAAATGAAATTGTAGAAAAGTGTATGCATTCTTAATGAAGACAAAGATCATTACTAATGCGAGTAATCTGATTAGCTTTTTTTTTCCCCTCATTAGCAGAAAGTCCAATGGGTTGATTTATTTTATTTTATTTTTTTTTTTACCCCCCTTAGGCAGAGGAGTATGACATAATGGTTCGGGAGCTGGGCTTTGAGATGAAGGCTCAACCATCAGAGAAGATGAAGACGCCAGAGGAGGTGGCCAGGGAGGAGAGGGACAGGCTGCAAAAACTGGAAGTGAGACATTGTTCCTTTGTTACCACAGTTGTGATGATTATAGAAGTATCTCCCTGTAACCTACACGTCTCATTATTCCACCAGTGCTCTGCTCGTATTCATTTAAATATATTTTCTGAAGCAGTTCGAGTAAAATTTCATGACCAAGGTTATAACAGATCCGTCAGTCGTTTGTAGTAAGTTCGCCTTGACATCAGTGTTGCCAGGATACTGATGGATAACGTGAAATGGTGTGAGTGTTTGTGCCAGTTGGGAATACTCAATGTGTCAATGTGAGTAAATGAGGATATTTATTGATTGAAGGCTGACAGACAGCGTAGAATGTTGGGTGATATGGAGGAGGAGACCAGCAAGAAACAGAGCTACTTGTCAGCAGATGACCTGAATGATGGATTCATCTTGGATAAAGAGGATCGGCAGATGCTTTCTTACCAAGTAAGTGGACTAGCATGAAATATCCCCCATCTCTCCTGTCCAATCAGAAGGCAGTCAAACAGCCTGTTTTTGTGTTTGTGTGTGTTTTTTTTTTTTTTGCCTTAGGATGGAAAGTGGAACATAGCAGAGGAGGATCAAAATGCTGATGATGATGATGCTGATGATGCTGATGCTGGTGATGATGATGATGATGGAGGCAATAATGATGGCAGTAATGATGGTGAAGATGGTGATGATGATGACCAACATGGAGAAAGTGGATCAGAGGAAGAGGGTAGCGATGCAGAGTCGGGTCATTCTGACCTCGACTCGGAGGATGTAGTGGAAGATGACGATGCGGAGGTTCTCAGGAAAGCGGAGAGCCAGGCTAAACCACACTGCACCTTAAGTAAGGAAGAGCGGCTCGCTGGGCAGGAGGAGGCCAAAGCAGAGCTTCCATATACCTTTCCAGGTAAGACCACCTGCAGCCAGTGAGGAATTCGCCAGCTGTGTGCATGCTGCATCTGTGCTGCAAAGCTTTCTGAGTTATAATAATTCAATAGGAGGACCCCCCGCTTTGAGTCTGATTCCTCCCAAGGTTTCTTCCTACTAGGAAGTTTTTTCCTTGCCATTATTACCTCTGGCTTGGTCACTGAGGGCTTTGAGCAGGGATAATGTCAAGTGATTTGAAACTCTGCCTTAAGAGTGGTTTGATTAGCAAGCAGCAGTTTCTGGGGATTCAACTCTTATTTTAGTGCTTAAAAAAGACCAAGCTAATATAGCAGATATATGTATTTAAATGTGGATTTTACAACAATGTATTGACAGCTAGCTTTGCCCAGTTATTTTCATGTTACATGTTCATTAATAAAAAAATTACCTTCAGGTACAGGTGTTACAAATATGTCGGTACAGTGTATATTTATTGTGCTGAAGTACAGTCTGCTACAATATCTGAAATTGACTCTTTTAGCACCAGAGAGCTTCAGTGATTTGAGGTCTCTTCTGCATGGGCATTCTGCTGATAAGCAGTGTGTTATTCTGGAGCGGATTCAGAAATGCAATCACCCAAGCCTGGCAGCAGGAAACAAACTTAAACTACAGGTATCTCATGTCCCCTTTTCGTTTGGGTTAGACAAATCTTTGCTTTTGTACGATTATCTTTTATGTTTTTTTTTTTTATCTTCTCCAGAAAATGTTTGGCTTTCTTCTGGAGTATGTTGGAGACTTGGCCACTAGATGTCCTCCTGAGCTTGGCACAGTAAACAAACTTGTTCCGTGAGTATCACTTCACTTCCTGTCACACATTCTCGGGTGCTAGGGGTTATTCTTAATTTGCGCTAATTAGAGTCACACAAAACTAAATTTAAAAATGACCCCTGCTGACATTTGTGAAGTTTAGATTTGGCTCTCCACAGAAAATAATTGTCCAGGCATTGGTTAGAGAAACAAGGATTCAAATATCTTTTTGAAATGCGTAAAGACATATCAAATTTTCTCTTAATTTTATGTTAAAAAAAAGACAGAAAAGGAAACAACATATTTTCTTTGTCAGTTAATGTTTAACACCTCTCAATTGAATTTAAAGTGATTAAAAAAAGTTAGCTTTCACAGTATACAATAATATTTTCAAATTATGCTTGAAATTCATACCCCTAAATATGTTTCTGTGATGATGCTTGGGATGTTGAGTGCTCGACGGGTTGTCCCATCGCTTGCAGGGCCACGGGTTTAAATCGCTTCTTTGTGACTTTCTGTGTGACTGGAGTTTACTTGTTTTCTTCTGTTTGCGTCGCTCTCCTCTGGGCAAGTAAGTTTCTTCCCAGAGTCTAATAACATGCAGTTAAGTTACTTGGCATCTCTAAATTGCCGTGTCAGTGAACTGGTTGGAAGCACAGGTGCTTTTCTTTGTGCTATCAAATTGCTGATCCATAGAAACTTTTATAAAAAAAAAAATAATTAAATTAAATTATGGGAATGATTGCGTAGTGCGCTTTTGAAATTAAAACCACATACGGCGGAGTCCTAAACGATTGGTTGGCCTGATAATCAAATTGCCTTGAAATAGCCATAAAGTCTCCTGTTTTTCAGCCATCTGTACGGCCTCTGTCAGCTGTTCCCAAACGCGGCGTACCTGGCCATGCAGAACGTGCTGAGTGACAGTGCCCACGATATGGAGGAAGTCGTAGAGGTCAAAGGTCGTGCCGCCCTCCCAGGCCTTGGCATGGTAAGCGTATTTTGCATGCTGTGTCGTCCGGCACTTCTAATAAAACCACAGATGATCATGGTGTTGAATGCCACGTCTTCTGGCCCTTCAGCTCATTTACTTGAAGATTGTAGCTCTGCTGTTCCCCACTTCGGATTTCCGGCACCCTGTCACCACTCCCGCCTTGGTGTACATCAGTCAGCTGCTCACTAAGGTCAGTAGCTGTCCCACGTTTGGTTAAACCCACATTGCGTAACAGGAAGCAGCTCCCATCTTGGACCTAAAAACGCCAGGCTGCCGCTCCCCTTTAACTTTCCCTTTTTCCAGGGAGAACAGCTCAGGATTTTCAGTTGTGTGAGATTTTTTAAAAAAACATAAAATAGCTAAACTTAAATACTATTTCTGTGGGAATTTGTCTTGCAAGCTGATCGTGAATAGAGCTCAAGAAATCTCCAAGTTAAAATCAATACAAGACGAAGTCCAGAGATATAAGATTAGGTTTCAAATACTATGGTACAGTAAATACTCAGTTTAAAGCTTGGCTTGTACTCATATTTTGGCCCTGTTCCAGCAATAGCGTAGTTCCATGTTGCTGCCTCTTATAAAACTTGGCAGTGTAGTGTACATTTTTTTTCCCTATGTTATGTTGTCAAAGCAAACCCAGGGAAGAATGAAGCATTACTTAAATTATGTAACACTCTAAATGCCAAACTACTCTGAGGGTAGTTGTTGTGAGGCGAATATAAGGTGTGATTGCCAGGAATAAATGAGTTGTGATTCTGCCGCAGTTTGCAAATCGCCAAGAAAATGTAACTAATTAATTTCCTGATTCTTTCCCTGACTGTCCTCAAGTGGGATTTTATACAAAATCATAACCATGTTCACTGATGACATGTTTTCATTGGTATTGGTTATAGAAGATTAAGTGTTTGATGTATTTATGAGAGTTTATTTTGGTTACATTTTCCCCCAGTGCCCAATAACTTCCCTGGAGGAAGTGACCGGCGGATTGATTCTGTGCTGCCTGACGCTGGAGTATGTCACACTCTCTCAGCGATTCGTCCCGGAGCTCGTCAGCTACCTCTTAGGAATCCTGCACCTGGCTGTGCGAGACAAAGGCTCCCTCGGTACATTACCACGGAGGGTGATCGCCGCTGGTCACCAATCGCCTTCGACTTTAGGGGGTTTATTACTACACGTTTCCCTTGATTAACGTGATTAATTCCCAAATGTCACTGCGGAAACCACGTTAATCAAATATAATCAGTTGTAAAGTAAAAATTGCTCCACTATTGATTGATCTCAGAATAATTAAGTATATGTTACCCTCATAATATGATAGTCTAACATAATGATATTCTTGTAATGAATGACCCATATTGTCAATTCCTTAAAGCCTGTCTATCTTCCAATCTTACTTTTTCTCTCGCCTTGTTTAAGTCTTTTAATTACGTCAAGTTTAATGTGTAAAGTAATCACTTTTCTGGTTTCACTCGTCATTGAGGTGTCGCTCTTATTAGACAGTTAAATGGATGAATATTTTTAAAGAAAACAATGGGTTTGCGATAGACTTGATAATCACATATGCTTCCTACGCACTAGCTGCATGTTTTGACCGAGGAGGTTGCTATAATTCCCACCTCCAGTCACGCAACTGATGTATTGATCTGTGGGAGTTTTGGGATAAGGTTAATCAAAATGTTTGCCGCCTAATATAAGGATGATTGCAATTGATTTAACCACGTTAATCAGGGGTTACCAGTCTATGTACTACGGCTGATGATTGGGAAATTTCTTTGGTCATTTGTTTTAAGCTTTTTTTCATGTACGGTTCGTGCAGGGGTGGGCTTTTTATTTTCTGGGGCCCTTCTGAAAAAGTCCCCCCCCCCCCCCCCCTCCGGTGTTTCAAAAGTAAATAGCTAGCGAGTAGAATCAGAACATCGTAGCCAGTTACCTGGTAAGCAGAACATGCTGCTTCATCTCCTGAATTAGGAACGCATTCATTTAGTATTTAATGTGGTAACTGTTGGTGGCCAGCAGAGGGCCCCAAACCTCGTGGGCCCTAAGCTAATGCGCGTTTTGAATGGTGGCAAACGCTGCTGGATTTGTGTGAGAGGAAATCAAAGCCTTAGTTGAGCGTTGCCTTGCCTGTAGTGTAACGTCTTTTAAAATGCGTTGTTGGCTGCCATGCGTTTTAGCTAAAACTGTAATTAGTCAAACGTGCCGCTAATGTTATCGCCCCTGATGTTGCTAATGTGCAGTGTGTGCAGTAAGGGAGTCAGACCTATGACAGTGTGCAGTGAAATGCCTTCACCCTGCTGCCACCTCGCAGCCTGTGGAATTTAGCCCGGCTGGTTGGGAAAGCCTTAAAGAGACGATGGTGGAACGTCTCTGAACACGTTCGTGTTCACATGGTGACCTTTAGATGATTTAGATGTTCAAATATTTTTTAAAATTACATCAGCAACATGTTTTTTTTTTTTTACGCTTTTTTTTTGTTTTAATCGTGAGTGGTATTTGTGTAAATTTCCCTTGATTAACGTAATCCCCAAATGTCACTGCGGAAACTGCGTTAATCAAACATAATCAGTTGTAAAGTTAAGATTGCTCTGCTATTGATTGATCTCAGAATAATTAAGTATATGTTACCCTCATAATATCGTAGTCTAACATAATATTATATTCTTCTAATGAATGACCCATATTGTCAATTCCTTAAAGCCTGTCTCTCTTCCAATCTTACTTTTTCTCTCGTCTTTTAATTATGTCAAGTTTAATGTGTAAAGTAATCACTTTCTGGTTTCACTCGTCATTGTGGCGTCGCTCTTATTCTTAGACATAGTTAAGTGGACAAATGTTTCAAAAGTTTAAAGTAAACAATGTACAGTGGTGGGCTTATTACATATTTTCTGGGGCCCTTCTGAAAAAGTCCCCCCCCCC